AGAGAGAGAGAGAGAGAGAGAGAGAGAGCAATCGCCGCAATAGTTTTCGAAGCAATTCCAGCGGAACCACGGAGTCGGATGCAAGAAATTCCGGAACGTTCAATCGATCTGTCTCTACGGTCGCAACACACACAACGTCGAAAACGCGACCCCGACGAACGTCGACTGGAACGAACGCAACCGAGTATCGACTAAAATGGTAAAGGGAAAGACAGCGACGGGTACGAAGCGTTTGGCTGGACGTTTTGAATTGAAAGCTAACACAGCTGGCAAACTAGTGGCCTCGGCGCGACGAACGATGTTGCTCGCCAGATCCTGTCTGTTTGCCGTCGGTTGAGCGGGTATTAGCGTCGACGGGCAAACACGAGAACCTGTACATAGCGTCTGTATTATAAATTGTGGCCGGGTGATGATAGTTACACGCGCTGACGACGCGAGCGTAAATGCGCGTGCACACGCGTTCCCTGCCACGCGGCATTCCGCCTCGTCACGGCTCCCCCGTGTGCTCCGACTCCCTCTCTCATCTGACAACACCGATGTGCTGGATCTAGTGTAATCGCGTTTACCGCGTGGAAATCGAGTTTCGCGGCCGCAGTGGTTCCGTGCGAACGACCGGCGTGTGTACCGGCGCGCGGCTTGATCATCCACAACGGCCAGAGATCATCGCTGACCGTTAGAATTTTATTCGTCGAGAAGTCGCGCGAGAGATCGAAATATCGGAAGCAATAACCCTTGAAAGTAAGCGATGATCTCGCCTCGTTTTCCACGCGACCGAAAGAGCTTCGTTCAACTTTCCCCGTCGTTCTTCCTGATCGATGATCCGCGCACCTCGAGCATTCCTCTAGACGACTTCCCCCCTCCCCCTCTACGCTTATAAAGTCCTGTAAAACTTTTTACTACTGTTTACATTTTTCCTTCCTTTCAAAGGCTTCCTTTTCCACCTACACGCGCGACACCGTAAAACGAACGCTCTCTCAAATGAGCGAGACGACACCGTAATTGTGAACGACCGCGTTTAGGGTTGTCGGATCATCGGGCTGGATCTACTTCGTTCGCGGCGCGAAACGACGACAATTTTCACTTTCCACTTGTCCGTGTGCGTGCGTGCGTGCATGTGTGTATGTGTGTGTGTGTATGTGCTTCGACGTGTGTGTATCCACGCCGGATACTCGACGAAAGTATCGCGCGGATCGTTCTCGATCGTCCGACAGAAATCGAAAATCCTCCTTCTCACTTTCGTGTTCCTACACCAATCAGCGGCGATTCTTTCCTCCAACGCGGGATTAGACGCGCGCGAGTCGAGTCGAGCAAGTCGAAAGAGACCCGAAAACTCCGGCGAGGCTGATCAACGTTCCTCGAGGAAGTTTCTCGAGGGTGAAATGAGTAGTTGGAGTCGATACACGTACGACCGGCCGGTGAAAACGGTACGCGGCCTCGCTCGTGTACACTTCGAAGGGAAGAGAATAATTGCACGGAGGAAGCAAAAGTTTCGGGATTTTTCCTCGCTTTCAGCGTTTCGCTACGTGAAACGGATAGGTCACGGTCCATTAAGCAGCATCGTAGACCCGATCTCGCCTCGCGAATTGCATTTACCTTCCACCGGGGAGGGAAGGGGCGGCAGGAACCGAGTGATACTGTTGTTTTATCTTTGTTCTTTATCCGTTTGATTGATAATAGCGTTTCCAAGTTAACTTGCGTAATCCCGTTACGCGCCGTCGGTGCACTCGATCGACCGTTCCCGAAAAACAAGAAACACGCCAGAGACATTAAGAATAACCAAAATCCAGTGATTTCTCTCGCTCGCGCGACAATAATCATCATTGGGGAGAAGAAAAGAACATCGGAGTAGAAAGTTTTCTCCCCGCGAATCTTCTCAGAAATTGTGTCGCGACTGTTTGCAGGCTGTTAATCGTTAATCG